CCTTCTCTCCAACTCCAGCTGCTCTGTGAAGAGCAGCTGCCTGGGTTTTGCCAGCCCCATGTGCGAGCAGAGTCCTGTCCAGCACCAGGGAAAAAATCCAACCCTCCCCCGCACCACAGCCTCGGGGTTCAGCCTCCAGACGGGCTGAACACCCGCAGCCGGAGGCTCAAGGGCGGCGCTCTGCGTCTCCCCACCGACGGAGAAACCCCCCCAGCCTCCGGCGCCCCGCGGTTCTCTGGGCTCCAGCTCCTCCCTTCGGTTGGCAGGGAGGTGGAAATCGATGAGAGGCAAAAAAACCCCGCCACGCCGCAAAGGTGCGGGGAACGTCTTTCTCCGAGCTCGCCCAGGAGCTTTGGTTTCCCCCTCAAAGCGCAAAACAAGGAGGAGGACTGGCTTCAACCAGCTCTCGGGTACCTGTACAGCCAGTTCGAGACCTGACCCTGATCCCTTCAGACACCAGCAAAGCAGAGGCACAACTGACAGCTTCGCAGGGGATCCTGAAAACCATCTCTACACTCACTGCTGTTTCATCAGCATGGACGTTCAGGGCTTATTCCTACTCAGGAATAAACATCACTTGAGCAACCAAGGAAGGAAATGACAAATATTGGCGGGGAAGGAGAACAGGTAGAGCCTGCTAACACGATTATGAGGACAGAAGTGGTTACGACATCGCCTAAAACAATCAAAGTGAACACCCGCGAAGCTACCCGATAACGCAAAGGATTCCGTTTGGCAAAAGGAAGCCTTGAGGAGAGCAAAATTTTCAGCGCAGCTCCAGAGTTCTCCCATTTACTATTTTTGCCAAAGCAACAGCGTCCACGAGTCGCAGAGCCGGGTGCTTTTCACCCGCAGAGAGCAGCCCTGCCCGCCAGCACCGGTCACCCAGCGTCCCCAGCAGCAGGTCCCAGCCCCGCGGGGACGCGGCAGGCTGCGCCAGCCCTCTCGCCGCCGTGTTCCAGTCGTTATTTGGGTACTCGGTGCCGTTTCCGTTACACGAAACGGAGCCAGAATGAGCGAAGAGGGAGAGAGAGAGCCCGTACCTTTTTATTATCCACCACTTTATGGATGTAGATGGTTGCCTGGGTGTACTCACGCAGGTCCCGCTGCTGTTGGCATAACAGCCCTTCTCTGCACTCCGGACAGAGTTCTGCGGAGGCACAAAGGAAAAATGCATTTACTTGCTTCCGCTCCCTGGAGACCCCTGCCCAACCCCTCTCACCGCTAACCCGGAGCGGATCACGCTAGCAGGGGCTCCTGTCAAGCTTGGGACCCCCTCAGATCCAAGCCTTTAGCCGAAAAAGAGCCATCTCTCGGGGAGCTGGCACCAAGTAGCAACCGAGCAGAGCACAGAGAGCAGCAAAAGGTTCACTCACGGGGCTCAGAGGTGTAAAGCGCGCCCTCGGGGTCCGCCCCGGCAGCTTGCGTTCGGGTGATTTTGATGACGTGATCCACGACAAAGAGTTTTTGAATCCTCTCCCACTCGCTGGGCCATATTAGAGCTATACTGTGCAAAGGAACAAGAACATGCTTTATGACGTGGAAAAGCCAAGCCTCGAGCTCCTGAACAGCCTGCCCTTTTCTTTTTTGTCTGTTAATGAAAGAAAAGCTGCAAAAATCAATTCCTAACTCCAGCTAGAGGGGAGGGCCCGTACGCCCAAGATAACAGGGTTAAGAGCAGCGTGTTATTAGTGACGCTGTTCTGCTCCAGGCGTGCTGGAGGGAGGACGGAGGAGGAGAGGAGTGGAAGATCTGCTGCTTTTAGTTCTGCATCACTGCAGAAGCAACGCTACGGAGCATGAACTGCAGCCCAGCGCTCCGGGGGCAAGTCTCATGGAAAGCAAACCCTAAGCGAGCTGGATGTTTCCATGCCCCGCTCAAACCCAGGGTAGTTTATTGTCAGGAACTAGCCAAGCTGAAGTAAGCTCTCTTTTCTCCTAACCCAGCATCCTTCGACAATGTAGGTCTCGCCTTGTATGAAGGCTCAGGTGAGCCTCAGAATTAATTTTGTCCAAGGGAAAGCCATTTGCTCCTCGTGTTGCTGCGGCCCAGCAAGCCTCCAGGAATGTTCCCCGAGGCTTGCGGGAGATGAAGGCACCTGGCAAAGGCAGATGCGTGAAGAGAAGAAACTCACAGTTTGGAGTCTTCTTTGGTCATGGAAGCGTAGGTGAACATGAGGCCGCCGTGGGGGCAGAGCAGAGCGCTGTTTCCGACCGAGGACACGGGGCTGCATCGCGTCGGCCTCCTGTGCAGGCAAAGCAAAGCGGTTTGCAAGGCTCGGTCAGGTTATTTCACAAAAAAACCACCACTCTGCAGGCAGCCAAGAAGAAATCGCAGGTGTGTATTTACAGAAGGCATTCCAAGAGGGAATATTAACCTAACACCGACGAGGAAATCAGATCTGCGTTCCCGCACGCCGCAGAATTGCTCTCCTACCTAGCCGAGATTTCCCCCTCCTACCACCAGCAGCCCCTGGACACAGGGCTGAGCGCTGACCTTTGCCTAGGACACAGCTCCAGACAGATGAAAACGCTAATCGGGTTACTATCTAATCCAACCATCTGGTTAAGACACGGTAAACAAGGAAATTTGGTTTCTTACAACGTATTACAACCGATACCAGCCCTGCAAAAATCAGCTTCCTTGTTTCCACACAGGCGAACTACGCACCGCACCGGGACCCGAAAGCAGAATTGGTGTCTGCAGCTCCCCCAAAAAGGTTTAAAAAGCACCAGAAACCTCAGGCCAAGTTACCTGACAAATTTCCTCCATTCTTCTACAAAGAACTGCGAAACAATATACAGCTCATCTGTCTCCTGGAGGTGAAAAGAGAAAAAAGAAAAAAGATCTTTTTTAATTATCCGACAACAGAGAAGGGATGACTGTTCAGCTCTTTCTGCCGCGCTCATTCTCTTCGAGACCTCAGTGTTTTTACCATGACAACTCCACCCAAGCGCACCGGGAAAGCCACGTAAAATACTTTGGGATCAAGCGCTAAGCACTTGCGTTCCTAATCTCGTGTTCATTAGAAAGGTAATTTAGCTTTAGATCCAATTACCCTCCATTCGCAGCAGGAAACCGTCATTCTCCCCAGAGCAGCTGAGACTCCGCAGCACCGTGTTTCCCCTCGCCGGGTACTCGGGGTCTAAGGCAGACGCCTCTCTCCGGGCGAGACCACCCCACCCTGCCTCATCTGCTTCACCAAGCACAATCCAGAAGTTTCTCCTTGCGGCAGCAGCAGGGATTTGAGACCACGGCCGTGCACCCTCACAAGGCAGCGGTTTTAGGATAAACCGTTGCGTTCCTGCCCTGAATAATTTGCCGTGAGATAATCTGCTCCTGGATGAGAAACCACCGAGATCCTAAGAGCTGGGTGACAAACTGATTTCCGCGCTCACCCATCCTCACCGCCTTCCCTAATGCGGATTTAAGGGCTCATTCCACCTTTCTGCAAGAAAATTCAGCACACCTAAGGAATATATATATATTTTTTTCAATCTCCCTTCGTCTCCTCTAGATTAAAGCGTTCCTCTTATTTTCCACCCCAAACCTCAACTGTTTTGGGTAAGGAAAATGCAGAAAGCTTGAGGGAAGATATCCCCAGCTCTTTTTTATCAGGCTCCCTTGGGAAATTCAAAGCGAGCGGAGGACGTAGCCTCGCTGCCCGGAGAGACCCTCATATTCCGAGCTGCCCCATGGCGATGGGCTCCAGCTTTCCATCACCTACCCCAGCTACAAAAGCAGAGCCAGCCAGACACTACCCTTAAACACTGCCGGTAGGACCTGGCAGCTCTCCAGCTCAGCACAGAGCGTTTGGCATCGAAACCCTTTTGGGGCTCCCCGGTTCCGAGCCGTGGATCCGCGCTGACCTCAACACGTATTCGGGGCTGGAGAAGGCACCCGAGCACGCCGCCCGACCGACGGAGGCAGGCCCCTGCCAAAGCAGCTTGGCAGGATCTAAGTCTCCATCATTAATCAGCGCCGCGAGACGCCCGGGAGCCAAGGCGTGGAGCCAACGGCTTGGGCCATTTCTTCCGAGCTGCCTCGAAGTCCCAGGGAAGTCCTGGCGAGCTGCACGCTCGTACTGGGGAGAAGCTGGTACGAGAGGTTTTCCACGACCATTGCTCCTATTTGCAGGGCTTCAGCGTTTAGGGAAGCTCCCCCCGAGCTCTCGGGATGCAGGAGGATGCCGGAGCACACGTGAATTTTGTCTGACCAGCAGCAAAAGCCTGGCCTGCACGGCAAGGCAGACGGAGGGCAGTGGGGAGCTGCCCCCACCGGCACGTCCTTCTAGGGGCGGCTGTAACCACAGCAGCAATATTGTCGCTGCTTATCTAGCTGACTCCGGGCCAGCGACAGCGACGCTGGCACGAGCCGTTCTCGTGTATCTGTAGCAGGGCGTTGTGCCAGCACAGCTCATCGGGGGAAATCACACCTCGGCAAAACACACGTGTAAGCTCCGCCGGCACCGGCTTCCCAGCGCAGGCACGGTCTTCCTCGGACCGAGCGAACGAGGATTGGGCAGTCTCTCTCACAGGTGAAATAAAATTTCATAGCGAGAGGGGTAGCAGCTACCAAAAACCTCCCCAGGCCCCGCCACGCTCCCCCCGGTCACCCTCCTTCCCGTACCTGAGGCCAGCTGCCCAGGCAAGGTCTGCATTTATCGTGAAACAGGTTCTGGAGAGAAGTTTTCTGCTCGCTGGCCATCATCTTATGCAGAGCTTCGTTTTCCTCCCCTTCGCGCTCCAAAATCTGCATAAAACAGTTAATGACACCACAGCTTCAGTTCCTAGCTCCCAGTAAAAGGAGGCATTACTCTCCTCCACCGCGTTGGGTCGTGTTAAAAAGAAAACCAGAAGTATAAGCACGCATTTACAGTCAACGAAAGGGTAGCACTCTCTGGCATTCAAATACCTTGCACTGGGAACAGCACTCTTTGTTGTTTGGGAATTCAGGGGCCTTTGGAAAATATTGCTTGAGTTTCTCCCAGGCTTCCTTCGAAACCACCCTCCGCTCGTTCTCAGAGATGCACAGGTCACCTGCAGAGAGAGCCAACAGGAGGGCTTTGCTCGTGAGGCGCTCAGCGATGCTGTGCAGCCCGAACCAGATGTAAGAGATTACAGAGCGTAAATGTGGGGGAAGATATTCACGCGCTTCTCAGCCAACACCGTGTCAGCAAAAAAAAAAAAGAGCGCAACCAACACACAAAGTCACCTTCAACTTCTTTATCGTTTCCTTGTTTCGACAGGAAAATAAAAATATGACTTTTAATTCATACAAATGTCCTTTAGATTTCAAAGCTCACGGACCCAAGCAGCTGATCAAACACAAGCGGCGGTGAAGAGACGCTCGGAAAAGCAAGGACAAGCCAGCGGGGGCACAGGGCTACGGTTTTCCGATCTCGGCTACCCACAGCTACGCTTTTACGGCGACTCCATTTACCACGCTGCAGATTAACCCCGTGCCCCACGAAATGGGAGCCAGGTGCTTTCTGAACCCTTCGACCAACAAAAACTCCCGCTGTAAGATCTCAGACGGCCCCCTGCACCCTCTCCAAGCACCTCAAAATCTGCAAAGGACAGATTTTGCACCCTAGATCTGCTCTAGGGAGTAACTGGGGTGTGAAGACATGAAGTAAGGTTTACCAGCTACCCCCAGACAACTCGCCTGCTGGATTTCCTATCCTGATGTTCAAGCAGCTCAAATATACCCCATGAACGGTTTCACAGGAGGCCTTTGTGTCTGTCGTTTTAGCGACAGGAGTATCTGGTTTTCCGATCTCAGCTACCCATGGCTACGCTTTTACGGCGACTCCGTTCACCACGCTGCAGATTAACCCCGTGCCCCACGAAATGGGAGCCAGGTGCTTTCTGAACCCTTCGACCAACAAAAACTCCCGCTGTAAGATCTCAGACGGCCCCCTGCACCCTCTCCAAGCACCTCAAAATCTGCAAAGGACAGATTTTGCACCCTAGATCTGCTCTAGGGAGTAACTGGGGTGTGAAGACATGAAGTAAGGTTTACCAGCTACCCCCAGACAACTCGCCTGCTGGATTTCCTATCCTGATGTTCAAGCAGCTCAAATATACCCCATGAACGGTTTCACAGGAGGCCTTTGTGTCTGTCGTTTTAGCGACAGGAGTATCTGAAAGGTCACGCTCACGCATTCGGACACCACGCGCACGCACGACGCCGCGCGCTTCGGCAGACAAACCAGGCTCGGGCAAACCGGAGCAGGCGGGGGCTCGGGGATCCGACCAGCCGCCCGCTCGCAGGCCGCATGGTCGCCAAGGGGCAGACACAACCGCGTCTCCGTCCCAGGCAGCGGCTGGGGAGCCAAGGCACG